AACAAATGTGGATTGTCTTTTAAACCTAGGCTAGGATGACCTTCCTCATCTTTTCCATATGTTGAAAATGATGGCTGAAATGGAGCCTCCCTAAATCACTCTACACCATGCCTACCAAACAGCCATGAAAAACTAGCAACTAAATAAACTCATTTTGACAATGATGAATCTCTTAACTCTGCTGGTCAGGTTTCTTCTAATGGCAGTACTTAGGTAAGTGTACCATAACACATGAACATAGATCACAGTTAGAGTAACAATTTTAAGCCCAGGGAATTGAAAAAGAAATGAATTTTAACCTCGTGACTTGGAGAGATGAACATATAGATATGAAGCTTAAAAAAATGCTGCTTAAGATATACATGTCCTTCTGCAAAGAAACAACTTAGCAAACCTTGGAAACTCCATAATGAACTATATGTTTTGCTGAAAGCTATGCATTTTTGAGGTTTATGTTGTTTGCTACACTTCCTCTGTTAGCTGATTCCAACTCTAATTGGAGGAGCAAAGTAAAGGAAGTCCCCTTGGAAAAAAGATATTGGCTGCACACGGTTGCACAAATTAAAAAATAAAATTGTCTTTCTGGCTTTTTTTTAGAACTGTATTAAAAGGACAAGAATAAATGAGAACATTCATTTGCTTTTTAAAATGATCACACTTGGGTTTAACCACGGGCAGAGAAGAAACTTTACAGTTCCCTGGTAACCTATAATTTGGAAACGGAAGCACACAAGAACAGACTTTAGTTTTCAGGCAATAAATTGAAGAGAATTCTGCAGACATATAACAGAAAAGGAGCATAAAACATTGGCTTGTGCATTTTTTAGAAAGTTAGTTTATTAACTCGATAAGCTACACATGGAAAAATGCAGCCAAAATCTACAAGGATATCCAGTGGGGTTTCAAATTGGCATATTTACTCAGCGAGAAATGGCTAGAGCTTAAAAAAAAAGTGGGGAGGGGGAATCCATTCTATAAACAATGATTTGGTGTGAATCCCCAGAAAGACACCTTGTTGAAAAACCTCCATGTGGGCTCTGATGGGACACACAGAAGCCCCACGCCCCAAGGTCAGACATAAATATCATGCTCCATAATCTGTGATCTGGGGAAAAGCTCTAAAGAGTTATACAAGAAAATCACGATCTTTCACATCCACCTTTCACACACAATTCAACATTAACTTGAAGAATGTTTTAATTTTCCTCCTTATTGCCCAAAATGTTTTTTAATGCTTTATTGGGAATTTTCATTTACTGATGTGAGTTCTATATCTGTATTATTCATCAGTATAAAATAGTTGCAAAGAATTTGTAAGTTGATACTCCCAATGGTCACTGTCTTCTATGATTAAAAGCTCATTATCAGTCTCTCTGGGAGAAAACTTCAGTAACTGAAGTTCACATATGTCAGGTACTGTGCTAGGTTCTTTCATAAACCTTATTTTGTTTAACCCACCCAGGGAGGCAAATATTGCAATCCCCATTTACAGATGAAGAAAGTAAGGGTCAGAGAGATTCTCTGCCATACTCAAGGCCCTGAGCTAATAATAACAAGCACCAGCATTTGAACACTGGCCAGTTCATCTCCATGGGTCTGTATCCTTCCCTTCCTGTTCTCCTTGTTAATGCTCCAAAAAAAATGATTTAAGAAACTAAATCAAGAACACTCCCTATTCCTGTAGATTGTGGGTAATTTCTATGAGAAACAATAATTCAAGGTATCTTCAAACAAAATGAGGACTCAGGACAAATACTAAACTGCCACCTCTTTCCAATGGGTCAAGTTCAGCTAACTAGGGTGTACTCTTAGGTACTTTATTTATACCATGTAGACCCCACTGGGATCAGAGCACCAGGCTATGCAGCAGAAGCCACAATGGACAACTCATGTGCACATGTGCTTTACAGGATCCCACAGTGTTTAAAAAATTCAACTAACTTTCTAAAACACGTAGATTTCACATACAAATTCCCATTTTGTGGATTATCTTGGATAATCATAAGTCCCACCATGCTAGGCCCACCTTTACAGCAATGTTCAACCAGAGCTTAGTGGCCACTACTTCCTTAGATGAGTAAGGGTTCTTGAGTTCCTTATAGTTCCCCACTACCCTAAATTATATCCACACACTAAGGTCACCCACAGCTGAAATTTTTCATTATGCATATGCTATTTTTCTTATAATAGAGAAATATCTGTCCAGGGCTTGTCTCTTTTGATAGACTGAGTGATGGGCCTAAATTCTTCACCTCTCCTTGTATCTACTCCTGTACAATGTTGTCTTTGTGAGTAGAGTATACTTTTCCAATCTGTGACTTTGGCCATGTGCTTTGCTTTGGCAAATGCAAAGAGTGAAAATCACAATACCAGCTCAAGACTAGGCCTTATGAGGCCTTGCATATGTTTGCTTATTCTCTTGTGCCTCAGCAACTGTCATTAGAAGAGTTTTCCCTGGGTTGCTGACACCTCTACAGCCTGACCCTCAGAACGCACATGTGTAACAGAGCTGTCCTAGCCACCACCACAGACTTGCAGTAAGTAGAAGAAGTTTCCAGCCAAGCCCACCCTAGGCCAGTTGGGCCAGTCAGTCAACCTGCAAATCTGTAAGAATAAACTATTGGTACTATAAAGCCACTGCATTTTGGGGTGATTTGTTGCACAGAACAACATTAGTATGGCAACTGCTAACTAACACATCTCTACCAAAAATAAGCAATAAAAAAACAGGCAGAAAGAACCAGACATCATTCTTTTTCCGACACACAAGGTTGTTCCTTATGTTGAAAGCCTAAACCCTGAAGGCATTTGAGTTTGTAATTTCTCTTGGAAAACTATAAACTCGAGAAATAAAGAAGACTGGACTTGTAAAATGCTTCATACTATGTTATATATCTAGGTTTGACTGAGGTAACACAGGTTTTGTCTATTGCCTTTCGTGTTTGTTTTGAACAATAAAAAGCATAGTCACTCTATCTTCATTCAACTTTGTTTCCAACTTTCATACCAACTGGCTGAATCTCTTGGTGCTCTTCTTTGAAGCCTGATATACTAGCTATTATTATTGTAGGCAATACTCTACATTATATTTTTCTGGATATAACACATATTGGGTTGGTTGAAATCATGAAGCCAGTGTATCCAACTGTTACCAAATGCTAATGTGAAACACATCAAAATTAGCAGGTGCCAATGCCACAACCACCAACCAGACAAGCCAAATCCTGGCTGACTGACACTTAAAAGGCTTAACAGGCTAACTTATAAGGAGGAAATGCTCAAAACAACAGCAATATTAAAAAAATCAAGTGCCTCCAGAAAGTTTCGTTTTCAGAAGGCAGTAGTTACTACATCTGAGCACATCTGCTTAACAATCCAGGAAAGTGGGAGGTTTACTCTCTATTAACCTTAACCAGAGACATTTTCATCAAAATTAATCGTGATTACTTTTTATTGCATTTCAAATGCTATCCTTTATTTGGGGTGGTCAGGAATGCAACTAAGCAATTCCAGACCATGCTATCTTTTATGAGTAGGGCTGTGAGGTTGTTATCAAGGCCCCTTATGAAAATACTGCTATACAAAAGTTCATGGGCCAAAACAAGACATTAATTTCCATAACTAAATGTGTCCGTAGAAAAGAAAAAATTACTACATATAGAAAAGACAAAAACTTTGATGCTTAATGCATATCAGATTAGAACTGTAGAAATACCTCTGCGTATAGTAGACAAATCGATCGTTTTTAATGTTTCATTTGCCTTTTCCTTGTTATTATAACAACTGTTAGTCAAGAACACTTATTTTGGGCATAGTCTGTGCCAAGTACAATTCTAAATTATTTATATGCCTTGACTCTTTAACTCCCACGACTACTCTGGAGCAGATGCAATTATTATTCTTGTTTTATAGAATAACACACCATAGCAAGGTGGGCCCTAGGGTCAGGTCCTCTTTTAAGTTCTGGGCCCACCTCCTATTGTCTCACAATTCAGTGAACACTGCAAATCAAGCATCAGTGTCAAGGGGCTTCAGTGACACCAGAAAACATGTCTAGGACAGAGAGAGAGAGAAAAAAAAAAAAAAAACCCAAATATTAACTAGTCTCTATGTGCCATGCTTTATGCAAGGTATTTCCCTGTATTTCCTACTCTGGGATAATTATTGATTTCTCTTTTGGCCAATTAAAAAGATGAATTATGAGTACATATTGAAATTATCTAACTTTTCCTGTCTCCAAGGAGGAAACCTAATATATAACTAGAGAAAAACACTAATTAATAACCAAAATTTAACATGAACTCCAGCCAGCTTGAACTGCTCTGTTTAAAGGCACACTGGAATAAATAAAGAAACTTCAAAGCAAATGCCCTGTTTTAGCTTGAATGTTTTATTAAGTACATGGGGAGCACTCCTTCGCCAAAAATAAGGAAGGTTAATGAGGAAAAAATGGTGTTTCCAGTGAGTTGGTTTGTTTCTAAGATAGAGCTGTCCATTGAAAGATAACTATATTCACGGAGAAGACAGAATAATGATCTGTGTCTGAGCCTCACAGTCTTGAACAAAACAAACTGGATTTGTAAACTGTCTGGGATCAGCTGCATGTATCCTCACCCAAATACCTTCTGTGATAATACACACACATTCGCCTTTTTCTATTTCCAAAACAATTTAAATATAAATTGTAAAGGAAGACATTTCTGTGTTTTAAGTTTCTTGCCAACTATATAAATGCAGCCCTTGCCTTTTCAAGGTGAGGTACGGAACCAAAAGACTCTGCACTGTATTTCTAGGCTATATCATAATTGGCTTTTAATTCTGAAAATGATGACACACACTCGGAAAGACCTGCTGGGTTCCTTGGGCGTACACTGTTAGTTCTAGACCCAGGGCAAAGGCAAGACCACATTTCTGTGCGTATTTTCTGGCAACAATGGTAACATTTCTGAGAAAGTCCATCTCTAGTTATTTAGGGATTAAGAAGAGAAGCCTGTGCTTACCTGCAAATGCTGTGAGTTGTCAGCCATGCTATCTTCTCGCCTGCGGACTTCTTCTAATAACTGAGCATTCTTCTTCTTTTCCAACTGTTGATTGTGCTTGAGGTTGGCCACCTTCTTATTCTGATCTTTCATATGCCTGAGAAAAGTCAGCACAGCTTGGTTAAATTCAACCACTGGAAGATCATATGTTACCACAAATAGACTCAGGAAGTACTAACATAGGATATCTGGATATGGGCTCAGGAAAAAAGATACTTCTGAATAATCCACTCATTCAATTACAAATATGTATTGAGTATCCACTTAATGCCAGGTTTCAGGATGGCACTCGGGCTGCAGTGGTGAATGAGACAGGTATGATCTTCACCCTCATGGAGCTTAGAGGCCAGTAGGCAAGACAGACAAGTACCAAGGAGACACAACTTAGGTTTCTTAACATTGAAGGAAACAAATAGCATGGTGTGAGACGGTGACATGCGTGTGTGGACAGGTGGTGGAGTGGAAGTAGATGTCTTTATATGCTGTGGCCAAAGGAAGCCTCCCTAGCAAAGTGAGAGCTAACCAAGAGAAACACCAGTGGCGGAGCTCCCAGGCAGAGAGAACAATTTGTTTAATTCCCAAGGCAGGAAAGAAGAAACTGGAAGGCTGCGGTGAGGCTAATCCAGGAGAGGGTGAATGTGGGTGGAAGACGGGACTGCACAGGTAGGCAGAGCCAAGGCACATAGGGCCTCTGGTCCATGATAGGGCATTAATTTTCTTCTAAGTGGTTGCTGTTCTAATTATTATTATTATTATTCTTTTGGATCATGTTCTTCTTCTGAGATCATAATCCATTACTTTGATTTTAAAATAACAATTACGAGGCTCCAATCAAATACATTGTCATCACTTAGCTCAAACACAATAAGAGTTTGGCTAATCATAATGTTAAATAAGGCTCTGCGGCTTGCAGTAAAAGTTCTTAATGAATCTACAGCATGTCAAAGTGCAAAATCATAAAGTGACCAAGTGAGTAAAAGACTAAGGATAAAGAATGGGTTAAAGAAAACAACAATGGGAATTACAAGCTTAATGTGGACTATTGCACCAGAAGCGTTTAGCAAAACATTCCACAGATTTAGGCAACCATGTCCATAGCGGCTATAATAAACCTAATCCAACACACAAGGAGGTAGGAGGGCAGTATGGAGGGCTTGGGAGCAGTGACCACAAGAGGAGGGACGAGCAGCAGAATCATCTGGGGTCCTTTTGGATCCCTTTCCCCCACACCACAGCATTGCCATGTTAGCCCCTGTTACTGAGCCCTGACTCAGTAAGAAACATACTGAGAATCACTGCTCTTTTGAAAATGTAAACAAGATGAGAACTAGATGATAAACAGCAAACATGAAATTGAAGCAATTAAAATAAAATGAAAACTGCTCTCCGCAAGAAACTTTTATTTCTAGTCCTCATAAATTATGTACTCCCCTACTCTCTCCCATTCCAAGCAAATGAGGCACAAGAGCTTTGTTTACTTAGTCGAATCATATTATCTAGCACTAACAGTATACTCCCTGCTAATAAAATAGTTCGAGGGTGCAGTGGCTCATGCCTGTAGTCCCAGCTACTCAGGAGGATGAGGCAGGAGGACTTGAGCCCAGGAGTTAGAGTCCAGCCTGTGAAACATAGCGAGGCCTCATCTCTAAAACACACACACACACATACACTATATATATATATACACATACACACACATATATATGCATATATATACATTCTGAACACTTTGGTTTCTTATATTTATAATGAGGCCATGATTTAAATATTATTGGTAGTACTTAACAGGAGGATATAAAGTATGATAGAATAACCATCTTCTTAGTCTTTAAATTACATAATTTTTGTCTGATATTTCCCCATTTTTACCTGATACAGCAATGTATACACATGAAACCACCAAGTCAAACTTGCATACTAATCCACTTTGAGGAAATTATCTTGTTGTTACTATAAAGATGGTAAGAATGACCTCTTGCTTTCTAATTGAATGAGGAGACCATATTTCCAAAGCCCATACCATCCCAGGGCAGGCACATTTTCCAGTTCCTTAGGAAATAAGGGCAGAGCTCAGTAACAGAATGTAATGGAGAGGTCAGTGTGATAAGTGTGATAGTTTAATTAGTGGGCATTTTTATAAAGAAATAATTTTATTACTTTACACTGTTAAATAGAACCAACTGATATACATCCCCCTGCCCCAAGTACGGGTGACAAATACAGATTATTATTACAAACATCTTTTGCATAGTGAAAGAATTCCCGCAAAGTTCTTGGAACAGTCTGAACACAGAGACCTTATTTTCAGGGATACTGCAACATTTTTCTCAATCCCAAACAAAAAAGCAAATTCCAAAACCACATGTCCCTTAAAGCTTCCTGAATTAAGAGAAAAGAAAATGCCCCCACAGATGCTCAGTGAAAAAATGACCACAGTAATTTTTGCTAGCAACAACTATAGTATTTGTAAGGATAAAATCTATAAGTGACCTATCAGTCTCCACATCTTCCCCTACCTGCAGAAGTACACCCACACTGATTCAGTACAGCTTTCAACTGTCTCTAAAATCTAAAAGGTAAGACCCCTGGTTGTGAAGACTGCTATACCTTCTTGCTATCCTGCCCCAGAAGCAAGTGTCACCGTTTACCAAACCCCCAGCCACTTGGCAAGGCTCTGTCAGAAACTGACCTGCTCTATGATTTAAAAAAAAAAAAGTTTCTTTGGGGTGAATTTTTTCTCCAGAAAAACCAGCATGAAAAATATATGCAAAATGCAAATTTTAAAAAGATAAAAACAATTATGGCAAAAGAAGTATTTGGAAAATACAGTGGTAAGTTTAGTTATCAATGTTTAATAACGTCTTGTGCAATATTGTGCACACATATTTAGTGTCTTGTTATCCATTTCAGAACAGCAGGTATTCCAAATACCTCAAACAACAGACTTTAGAATGCATTATTGAATGCTTAATGTCACACGTTTAGCTCTCACTTGTGCTTTCCTTAATAATGGATGAGTTACATTCCTAGTAGTTTATCCTAATGGAAGCATTGCAGGAAGCTCATGACAACCATGGGTAAGTAAGCTGGGTTCCTGCAATGACCGCTCAAGTAGCTGGGCCACACACACACACAATGGAAGCTGACAATGCACATTGCATGCAGAATTTTCGATAATAGAAGCTCTTACTTGTAACCACTGAGATGATTCCACTTTTTTAGGCTTGTAAATACCATTCAGTACTCCAGCAAAGCTATAAATTTTAGAATGCTTTCATAAATACTCTAAGGATTTTTTATAGCAAGTATAAATGTGCTAAATGTCATGAGCATGATGTCCTTTCCAGGAAGAGAAAGGATATGGCCTGCTGTGGTAACTCAAACCCAACTCTCCTCCCAGCAAAGAGTCAGAAGCCAGACCAAGGTCTGAAGACTTAGCTCCAGGGCAAGCCAGATCTTGTGGACTTTGCACCTTGTGGCAGCCTCTCAAGAACAGCGCAGCTGTTTGGCTACTAGCTTTGTTCATGGTCAACTGCGTAAGACCTTGTCAAAGCCATGCAGTAGGATGTCCAAGACCACATCCCCACATTTTCTGCCTTGGCTTCCTTCCTTGCTTTATCCTTCCTCCTCTCCCTAACAATAGCCCTTGCTCTCTGAAAGTGAGTACCATCATTTCTTCCACCTCCTCTGTGGTGCCTGGGGCTACACAAGGACCCAGAGACAAAGCCACCCTCAGTTAAATCTCACAATACCAGCATACTCGAAAAATACATAATTTGTCATTTATCAGGCCAGCAGGACACATCCAGAACCTGAAAACATAGTGAAAGATAGCTAAAGAAAAGTGTCAAAGGGAGTGTTCAGATTTGAAAACTTGAGAAATAGAACTTCCTAGGGGCAAAGACAATTTTAGCGACTGCCTTAGAGCATCAGGCTCCACTAGCAAAACCCTCCTTGGGGAAGATGTTCCTATTCCTTGCTCAGCCTGGTAAAACGGTTGAATCGTACGTAACCAAGAGGGCCGAAAAGTAGTGCAGTAAGACGCCCAAGACGAAGGACTTCGTTGCCAGGTCAGCTGCATTCTTATTGCAGCAGCATTCCTTACCAAGTCTGTGACCCTGGCCAAGTTACCTCATTAGGGAATGGGGACATTAAATGATTTAATAAACCTAAGGCTCTTAAAATAGTTCCTGGCACACAGTGAGTGCTTTATAAATGACAGTGTCACAGGATCCTTAGGGTGTTGTTTTGCCAGCTGGAAACCTCTGTGGCCGGCAAAACCCTTGCTTGGGTTTTGCTTGCACCCACAAACAAAATGGGTTTGTTCCAACCATGTGGCCCAGCAGGCTGGACTCGGCTCACACTACCATCCCAGATCCCATGCCTGCCAAGGGCAAGCCAGGCATGGAGTGACGAGGGGTGTGTGAGCAAGCATGGAGCCAAGCTACTGCATGTAACCAGGTGTGCCAGCTGCAGCGGGGTGGGCAGCTCCAGGTGCCTGCCCTGTGTGAGGCTGCAGCTAGACCAGGTATACCACAAGTAACTTCCATTGCAGGCACCAGGGAATGCAGTGATACCTGGAAGCTTGGAGACACTGCGAACCGCAGAGCCCCAGAGAGGGTGTCACCGCCCTGGCAAGGGGAGAGCCTAGGTCTGGGCTTCCCAAAGGGCCACAGCTCTTCTCTCCTTCTCACCGCCCACTATGTGGTGAGTGGGGGTGAGTTTCAGTCCTATTTCTGTTACAGCTCTTTCAGTCCCACCATCAGTGGGTCCCAAGTTCTTGCTCTGCTTCCAGGAAGAATGAAGTAGATGGACAACTGGAAGGTGAGCAAGGTGAAGAGGTGCTTCACTAAGTGACAAAACAGCTCTCAGGAGACCCGAAATGGGCAGCTCCTTCCCACAGGCAGGCCATCTCGATGAGTGTTCAGCTCTTAGCAGAGAGGAGACTCGTAGGCAGCTCCTTCCCACAGGCAGGCCATCTCGATGAATGTTCAGCTCTTAGCAGAGAGGAGACTCGTAGGTAGCTCCTGTCCACAGACAGGTCATCTTGATGAGTGTTCGGCTCTCAGCAGAGAGGAGACTCGTAGGTAGATCCTGTCCACAGACAGGTCA